AAACCTAGAGAGCCAGACAAACCTACCAAGCGGATAGTCAGGGAAAGCTGGCCATCTTTTCCTGACGATCCGCTTAGGTGAAACCTTGGTAGGTTTGTCTGGTTTTCTAGGTTTAACTAGGTCTGCTCTACTCATTGTATTGAGCACTTTATTTAGTTATTTTGGGTACTCGCATCAGGGTTTTTTTTTCTTTGGGCCTTGGACTTGCATGCTGGATGATTATTTTCGGTTAACGTACATGTTCTTGGTTCTTTCTTTTTTTATACCCTTTTTTCCCTTTGGTATTGGCTTGCTTATTTGCAAATCAAGACACCGAATGTTTTCTGTGCGAGTATAGTTTCTTATACTTATAAGATTTCTATTAATAATAATAATAATAATAATATATATATATATATATATATATATTGGCTACAATGTTGTACACTAGACAAAGTCATTTCCTAGGAAAGATGAAAGGTAATTTAACAAGATACTCGATACTTGTGATTTAAAAAAAAATAACGAGGCCCTTTATGAAACAAATGAAAAGTTTAGACATATAGATCTAACAAAATTATTTCAACACATAGAAACAAAATAAAATTAAATGCAACTGTTAATTAAAGGTTCTTTATATGGAGTGTTCACAACAATAACCAGTTAAAGCAAAATTTCAAAATGGCAGACGAACGCTAATACATCTGTACTAAACATTACCAACACTACTTGAAGATTAATGTAAAAATTAAACTACATCAAAATTGATCTTACTGACAGAAAGATAAGCCTTATATGGTGCAACAAACTTTAACTAAAATCTAAGAAGAAGCAGTTGCCAAGTTCAGCAAGCTGTAGGGTCAAAGTTATGGTATGTTTACAATTTACAGTTAATTCAAATCTTTCATCTAATAAAGCGTCCCTATCCAAAAACTTGATAATCTGCATTTTTCCTGTAAACACAGAAAACAAAGTTCATATAAAGATCTACATGTCATTGTCAGTTTTAAAAATTTCCATTTGACTTTAGGAGTTTTATGCTCATCTTTCGACCTCCAAAAATGTGTTTCTATAAGCATTATTAGTAAAAGCCGATATGTGTTGACACTACCGGGTTTTGAAAGAATTCTTAGTACTACTGAGATATAACTTTTCATACTTAGTACTAACAATATAGAACTTTTCAACCTTCGGATTTCAGGATTTTGTATCTTGTTTTTAAATCTCAATAAATTGTCTACTCAGCAGTTATTTACTAACGCCTGATAATATGTGTGAATACACATCGATACATTATTGCATTTGTGTATCGTTTTTTACATGTTTTTGATGTAATATCCTAAAATAAAGTATATATATATATATATATATATATATATATATATATATATATATTCATGAATTATTCATACAAAAAACAAATACAAAGGTTAATGATTTAATTGGCGAGAAATCCATCATCGCGAACAATTCAAATAATATACAATAACCCCGAACCTGTTTATGAATGAAAAGATCCTTGTTTTTATAAATTTCTGTTGCATAAGTTCTTATTATTTTTACAAGCTTTCGTCTGTTCCTACAGACATCCTCACGTATGGAATAGATTTTGTTCTTGTTTTTACTCTCAGTAATAAGAGGACAACGAAAATATATGTATTGTTGTAATCCGAAAAATGCTATTAGAAATGAGTTATTGTTTTTGGAGCGTGCAGTCGCAACGCCGAGTTTGAATTTAAATTTTACGATTGTGCGTTCTTGTACAAATATAGTCATAAGTGAATTCTTTTTTACTGGTAAATTTTCTGTGGCATGAACTATATTGTTCAATAATTACAGTAATGTCGCACTTATTATCCAAAAGTTGCACTTGGATCAGTTATTTTAATCTCAATATATATATATATATATATATATATATATATATATATATTTATATATATATATATATATATATATAGAGAGAGAACATAAAATGAGAGAGAGATGCATGCACATAGTCAGGCATACAGATAGATATAAACAAATAGATAAACAGACATGTGTACATATTGTGATAGATGGTTAGATACATATATTTCTGACATATTGTGATAGATATGAACATATATTTCTAGCCTGTCTATCAAATATGTTCATATCTATCTATTGTATCTATCTATAGACAGACAGATATATATAAACATATTGTATCTATCTATAGAGAGATAGACAGACATCATATATGAACATATGATGACATAAACATATTGTGTAGATGATTAGATCTAGAGATAGATGGATAAATATATCGACAGACAGAACATACATGAACATACTGTGATAGACAGACATATATAAACATATTGTGATAGATGATTAGATAGATAGAGAGATAGACAGACAGACATATATGAACATATTGTGATAGACAGTGATACAGACATATAGATATATGAACATATTGTGATAGATGATTAGATAGATAGAGAGATAGACAGACAGACATATATAAACATATTGTGATAGATGATTAGATAGATAGAGAGATAGACAGACAGACATATATGAACATATTGTGATAGATTGATAGATGATAGACATATATAAACTTATTGTGATAGTAATAGATAATGAGCATATATGAAAAGATACTGAATAATAGATAAGATAGATAGATATAGACAGATAGATATAGATGATTGATAGATAGATAGATAGATAGATAAGTATGTGAAGATGATCACATAGATAGATAGATATTAGCAGATATAGATAGAAAGGTAGATAGACAGTGTATAGATAGATAGATAGACAGACAGATAGTATGATGTAGATAGATAGATGACAGATAGACATATAATATTGATAGATGATTAATAGATATGTACAGAGATAGATAGATAGATAGATAGATAGATAGATAGATAGATAGATAGATAGATAGACAGACTGAATAAAATAGATATGAACAGTTAAATAAATCACGGTCCCTTAAAGGTTTTGATCCAAGGTAATTGGCTAGAAGTCACCGTGACAAGCATTACTCACTCATATCTCATCCAAATTCAATGCAGAGAATATCAGATGCATATCCGGTAAGGTCGATTCAGCATCCTGTAGCTTCGTTCGTATATAAGAGCAGAAAACCCACCGCAGTACCCGTCTCAACACCATGACACTGAACACAACTCCTCGTTTGGGAAATGTATTCTGACGGACTGGCAAAATGTGTCGTGGTTCTATGAGCTACCGTCGTACTTATAATGAAATTATTGTAGAGTCCGGGTGTAGCACAGAGACTTTGACGTGCTAGGAACCAACTGTCAAATGTATAGTTGAAGCTAGAGATGGTTTTATAACGGTTTGACGTGAGTTCACCTAGCATGGATTCGGTCCGCTGATCTGCATAAAAACGTCGTGGGCTGGTTATGACTAGTCTTGTAACGCTTCGTAGCCATATTACTATCTCAGTCCCATAATAATTGATACATTTAATGTATGAAAGGTGAATGGAAATGTAATAACTATTACGGGACAAAGATAGTATTTTTACTGTCCCATAATATTTGACTCACGTAATGTATGAAAAATAAATAGAAATGTAAAATCTATTATGGATCAAAGGAATTAATTTTTCTCCCAGTCCAATGATAATTTATACATTTAGTATATGAAAGGTGAATGGAAATTTAATAATTATTATGAGACAGTGCATTTTTCCTCTCTCTGTCACAATAATTGATATATTTAGTAAAAGGAAGCTCAATGGAAATGTAAACATTATTATGAAACAGAGGGTGCATTTTTACTCTCCATGTCCCATAATACTTGATACATTTAGTATAAGGAAGATCAATGGAAACGTAGCAACTATTATGAGACAGAGGGTACATTTTACTCTCATTGTTCCATAATAATTGATACATTTAGTATAAGGAAGATCAATAGAAATATAACAACTATTATGAGATTGAGGGTGCCTTTTTACACTTTCTGTCCCATAATAATTTGTACATTTACTATAAGGAAGATCATAGGAAATGTAACAACTATTATGAGACAGGGGTGCGTTTTTACTCTCCCTGTCCCATAATAATTGATACATTTATTGTATGAAAGTTTTATAGAAATGTAACAATTATAATGGGACAAAGTAAAAATACTACATCTGCACCTTAATCATAGTTACATTTAATGTATGAAATGTGGATGCAAATGTAACAACTATTACTGTCATTATAATATTATTTCGTTCATTATTATTATTATTATTATTATTATTACAATATTGCTGTCAACTATAATGATCAAAATCACTATCTGCGTTCTATAATTGTTGTTACACTTTCTCTATGAAATTTATCCGAAAATATTTATTTAATTTCTGAATAACAAACTGTTGTGGTAGGATCCACCTAATTTGCATAGTGGAGTACCGACCATATAAATATGGTTGGTACCGGGAAGAGAGAGGGAGGAATCAAGAGATTCAACCCGAGACTCTGCCCGACTGCGACTCAGTCAACACATTCTCCAGGAACGGTCTTACCAGGAATATACAAAAGACTATATGTAAATATTGTGTACACTTTCTTGTTTCAATACATTTTGTTCGAAGTACATTTTGTGTTGCATTATTATTCCATGCATTAGTCAAGTTTCAACACAAACTAAAAAAAGAAACTCAATAGAAATGAAATTGTTTATTAACTGAGTGTTTGATTTGTTATGTATTTCAATAATTTGTATTTCATATACAATTTCAATACCAATTTCATATAATAATTTCATATAATAATGTATTTCAGTAATTAAGTATTTGTTATGTATTTCAGTAATTTACATTTAAATATGTCTGGCGTTTAAAATAATGTCAGGATTTAATAAGCTTTTGCTAACCGATTTCCAATAAAATATGACTAATTGGTTTTCTTTCGTAATTTTGGTCTTGCCACCACCTTTCCTTTCATTTCTCTTACTTTTTAATCTTTCTCTCTCTTTGTATCTATCAACTTTTCTTTCGTTCATTGCTTCTTTAGATGTTCTGTTTGATTTTTTCCCTTCCTTGCTCGAAAAAGAAAAAAAAAACATCTTTTTATTCTTTTTCTTTATTTGTTGCCTTTCTTGTACCATTTCTTTTTTTCTTTTCATCTGGTTCTTTACTTTTCTTCTCCATTCCATTCTTTTCCTTCCTTCCTTTATTCCTTTTCTTTCTTTCTTTCTTTCTTTCTTTCTTTCTTTCTTTCTTTCTTTCTTTCTTTCTTTCCCTAACCTCTTCTATTCATTTTTTCTTTCTTTCTTTCTTTCTTTCTTTACCTTACATCTCCCATTCATTTGCTTTCTTTCTTTCTTTACCTTACCTCTCCTATTCACTTTCTTTCTTACCTTTCTTCCTTCCTTCCTTTCTTTCTTTCTTTACCTTACCTCTCCTATTCATTTTCTTTCTTTCTTTCTTTCTTTCTTTCTTTCTTTCTTTCCCTTACATCTCCTATTCATTTGCTTTCTTTCTTTACCTTACCTCTCCTATTCACTTTCTTTCTTTCTTTCTTTCTTTCTTTCTTTCTTTCTTTCTTTACCTTACATCTCTTATTCATTTTCTTTCTTACCTTTCTTTCTTTCTTTTTTCTTTCTTTTTTTCTTTCTTACCTTTCTTACTTTCTTTCTTTCTTTTTTCTTTCTTACCTTTCTTCCTTTTATAACTTATTTTCTTTTGTTTAACTATTTTTATTCTATTCTGCCTTCCTTTCTTTCCTTCTTTTTTTCTAGTCTTCTTTCTGCTTATCTTTTTTCTTTCTGAGCTTCTTTCTTACACTCTTTTTATAGACCCCTTTAATTTCATTCACACTTTAATTCTTTCATTTCATTCATTTAATTATACCATTGCATCTTTCTTTCTTCATTACTTTCATTCATCTAGTCATGCATTTTTTCTTCTTTTTCTTCTTATTTTATTCCGAGTTTTTTCCGCCCTGATTTATTATATTTTTTATATTTGTTCTTCGCTGATCATCTCTCTCTCTCTCTCTCTCTCTCCTTTCTTTCTTATACTCTCCTCTACTTAAAGGTTTTTCCTCGCCGAAAGCAATTTTCTTTCTATTCTCCAAGTAATATTTCACGCTGTCAGCAAGATCAAGGTTAAGTGTTTGGTTAAACACTCTCTAGAATGTCACAGGCACACACACAGACACACACACACTCTTGCTCTATCTCACACACACACACACACACACACACACACACACACACACACACACACACACATGTATGTACGCATCCAGAAAAGTACTCACAAACACCAATGCAACAACGTAGAAATGCATTTTTGAAAAATATATCACCGAACGAAGCGTTCTGGTGAATACGAAGCACATAAATACAAGGCTAAGTAGATTTTCTTCAAACAAAATGAAATACGGCGTCATAGAATGACTGAAATTGAGATAATGTATTGTACTTGAATAGAATAATGGACCAATGTGTACAGAGTGTGAAAGAAGCAAAAACAAAGAATCGCGTGTGCGCGTGTGGCTGTGTGTGTGTGTATTCGTTGCATATAAATATGCGCATACTTTCCAACATAGACTAAGTTTTGAAGGGACTTACACACACACACACACACACACACACACATATATATATATAGATAGATAGATAGATAGATAGATAATGAATGGAATTAGATAGATAGATAATGAATGGAATTAGATAGATAGATAATGAATGGAATTAGATAGATAGATAGATAGATAATGAATGGAATTAGATAGATAGTATAGATAGACAGATAATGAATGTAATTAGATAGATAGATAGATAGATAATGAATGGAATTAGATAGAAATTAGATAGATTGATAGATAGATAGATAGATAGATGAATAGATAGATAGATAGATAATGAATGTAATTAGATAGATAGATAGATAATGAATGTAATTAGATAGATAGATAGATAATGAAGGGAATTGGATAGATAGATAGATAGATAGATAGATAGATAGATAGATAGATAGATAATGAAGGGAATTGGATAGATAGATAGATAGATAGATAGATAGATAGATAGATAGATAATAATGAAGGGAATTGGATAGATAGATAGAATAGATAGAATGAATAATGAATGATAATTGGATAGATAGATAGATAGATAGATAGATGAATAGATAGATAGATATAATGAAGGAATTAAATAGATAGATAGATAGATAATGAAGGGAATTAGATAGATAGATAGATAGATAGATAGATAGATAGATAGATAGATAGATAATGAATGGAATTGGATAGATAGATAGATACATAGATAATGAATGGAATTGGATAGATAGATAGATACATAGATAATGAATGGAATTGGATAGATAGATAGATACATAGATAATGAATGGAATTGGATAGATAGATAAATAGATAGATAATGAAGGGAATTGGATAGATAGATAAATAGATAGATAATGAAGGAAATTAGATAGATAGATAGATAGATAGATAGATAGATAGATAGATAGATAGATAGATAGATAGAAAATGAAGGGAGAGCTGTAGATAGATAATAAAGCGAATTATTAGTAATCTAATGTTGTTCATGTGGTGGTAGCGTTGGGGTCTTGTTCATTTAGAGTTCTTAAAACGCTGTGAAACAATAAATGCACATTTATTCGTCCAGCAGCAGCAACCTGTCCATGGAAATTTGGTTTATATGTTACGCTCATCAATAAGAGAAATATTGTTCTAGGTGACAACGCAAGGTCGCATGTTGCTTGTTTCTTTGTTCTATCTATCTATCTATCTATCTATCTATCTATCTATCTATCTATCTATCTATCTATCTATCTCAATCAGTACTTAACTCACACCCTTTGTCAAGTTCTGTCTGTTCCTTCCCATGTTGCTTGTTTCTTTGTTTTATCTATCTATCTATCTATCTATCTATCTATCTATCTATCTATCTATCTATCTTCTCGAGTATCCATTCCAGTTATCACGTATCAATCAATCCAACCCAGCTTATCTATATCTATATCTATCATTCTCTCAAACAATTTCTTTTTTTTTTTTTAAATTCTCGCCAACCTTTCTGCTTCACTTATGGTTTCTTTCTTCGCTTTCGTTCATTTTTTTTTGTTTTTCTTCTTTCAATATTCTTTTTCGATCATAATCCAACTGTCTCTAACCCTTAATTAGACTCATGTATATCGATCAGTGAGTGAAACGGAAAATCATTCAAAATATCTCTTCCTGATCAGTCGATGTCTAACGCCAAAAAAATCTGTTTCCTATTCATCTACGACTCGCCTTCAGCTTGAGCTAACCTTTTATATTTCTTTTTAATCTTCAATCAAATATTTTGTTGTCATCAGACAAAAGATTATAGATATTCGCTCTTTGAAGTTTTACGAGAAACAAGTGATAAGATTTTTAATTGACTGCAACAACGATTTCTTTAGTGTCATTAAAATCAATTCAAAGAAGAAGAGATGACATCATATAATATATGCCGCTGCACTCAGTCACCTTTAAAACAGTCATTTCCTCACAGGCTTCATGTGTATTGACAACTTAATTGGATTTTCTTTCTCTTTCATATTTCAGTAATCATGTCTGGATTCTTGTTAATAAGAGCACCAAAAAGAAATTTTAAGATCTATCTATCTATCTATCTATCTATCTATCTATCTATCTATCTATCTAGTAAAACATGATACTTTTAAAAAATTTAAACGTGTCTCTAGATCGGCATCTCAGTCCCACCCTCTCACTATCAATACGCTTAAATGTAACCGACTCTTCTACTCCAATATCTTCATGTCTCGCACTTCCCCTCTGTGGAACTTCCTTCCTCTTACTTGTTTTCCTGATAGCTATAATCTCCAAATGCAATGTCAATTGACATCTCCAGATGCCTTGATCTATTCCCCGTCCTTTTCTTCACCCTTTCCTCTTTCAAACCTCTTTACTCTTGTTCCCATTCTCTGTAACCGCTTGCGTGCTAGTGGCTTTACTTGGGGTGAAAAGCTTAAAAAAAAACAAATGTCCATTTTTACTATCAGTAGAATTTACAACTTTAATTGCATTAAGAGAGAGAATGAACATCGCTGGGAATAGACTATAATGGAATAGAGAAACAAAGAAAAGATTGTTGAATTGTTATCAGTCCTCCGAGATGACAACGAATGCTGAACAATCTTCTTACATATGAAGAAGAGGCTTAGGGCACCTCGACCTGGTGTAATGGTTAGCAAGTTTGTCTCACTAGAACAATTTCGACTGGGTAGTGAGTTCGATTCTCACTGGGTGCCTCCCCACCCATAATATCGGCCTTATGTCACATCTAAGCTATGTTTGGAAAATCACTATGAAGAAGAGATTTTGAAGAGTCATGATCGCCCAAGTCATGAAATAACTTCAAACATAAAAGAAAAAAAAAAATGAATTTACAAACATCAAGAAAAAAGCGGGGGAAAAACGTCGGAAACATTCAAAATCTTGATGACGTCTAATAGCGATCAGTTATCTGTCTAATAGTGTAATTAAACTTCCTTTCGATTTTCGATATGTTTTTTTGTTTTTTTCGATACTAATTAATGTTAAAAATTTCAGTCAGTTTGTTCCCGCCGTCAAGCCGATTGTTTACTTAATTCTTTTTTTTTTTTTTAAAGTAAGTCTCTCTAATGCTTGGCATCAACTTGAATGTTAAATACACTTTCTGTACAGAACGTCTTGACTACAATATCCCACAACGCAGCATTAAATTCCGCCACCTTCCTGCGAAGCTTTTCTTGTTTAATCGGATTTCTTTCAAAAGGTCTGTATTGATTTGACACAGACAACAAGATGAGACAAGCAAAGCTTCAAGAGTTGGTACTATTTTCTCGAGTTCATCGCAATTCTCTGAGAGGGTCGCGTTGATCCTTACAGATAATTTCAAGTCGGGATAATCGAAATGCGGCTTAGATTGTTTGGACGAAAAATAGAAACAAAATTTCATCTTCTCTCTTGTACTACTTACAGTCATCAGTGCACTTCTTTCCTTCCCGCTTGCATTTCTACGTTTACACTTTTCTCTCTAATTTTCTTTCTTTTCTACCCTATCGTTTTTCTTTTACTTCCTCTTCTTTTTCGGATTTCTCTTTTCACCTCCTCTTCGTCTTTCTCTCTCTCTTTTTTTTATTTCTTTTCTACTGTATCGTCTTTTTATAATTCGTCTTCTTTTCCTAATTCCCTTTTATACACCTTTTCCTTTCCTCTTCTCTTAAATACCTTCTTTTTTTCTTCTTTCACTTCCTTCCTTTTATGGATCTGTTTTAGGCCTGAAGAAAATTTCTCATAAAGTGCTTAGGTTTCTCCTCGCGATTATCATATTTGCTTTTGCTTTCATTATTTTTTTTACTGAGTTCGAGTATTGAGCAAATATTCATCTAACAACTGTTTGATCGCCATAAACATTGATATTATTGATCACATTATTATTATTATTAGTAGTAGTAATAGTAATAGTAGTATCAGTAGTAGTTATAGTAGTATTATTAGTAGTAGAAGCAGTAATAGTAGTGGAAAAATAGCTTTAGTAGTAAAGGTAATAATAGTAATAGTAGCAGTAATAGTAACAGTAATAGTAGTAGCAATAGTATTGTAGTAGTAATATTATTAGTAGTAGCTGCAGTAGTAGTAGCAATAATAGTCATAGTAGTGTTAGTAGTGTTAATTGTAGTATTAGTAGCAGTATTAGTCACAGAAGCAGGGGTAATAGTAGTATGAGTATGAGTAGTAGTTATATTAGTAGTATTAGTAACATTAACAGTAGTAATAGTAGTATTAGTAATAGTAGCAAAAGTAGTAGTAGTAGTAATAATAGAATTAGTAACAGTATTAGTAGTAATAGTGATATTGGTAGCAACAGTACTAGCTGTAGTATCAGCCTTAATAATAGTAGCAATAATAGCATTAGTATTATTAGTAGCAGTAGTAGTAACAGTAGCAGTATTAGTAATAGTAGCATTTGTAGCAGTAGTAGTAGTAGTTGCAGTAGTAGTAATAGTAATGTAACGGTTATTGGCGCGGAAAGTGTAATCAGCGAAAGGAGTTTTGCGCTCACTTTCACAGAAATGCTTTTACGAAAGGCATGAACTCTTCTACCCCGCCCACCTGTGGATCATACAGTAATGAAGACGGGTCTCTTTAACTTTTCATGGTAGCCAGTTTACGAGGGGTATTAGTCGGAATTAAAAACCGTGGGAAAAAAAAAATAGAAAATACGCCAGTCTTTCGGCGAGATGTCATGACAATTGACAGTAATAAAGAAAATGAAATTGGTAGAAAAGTCATGATCGCCTAACTCCTGGAGGGAGATGGCATTAAAAACAATGTAGTGAGATTTATGTGAAAGGAAAAGACCAAGATTGCATTATTTATTTATTCTAACCCCTTGAGTAGGTTCTAGTTACTATTGGTCGTCACTACTGAATCCCAATTGTTTGCACAATTCTCAGTAGAGGATTCTTTCTACCCAGTCATATCTATTTTTGTACTCCCATCTGACTTCATATACTGTATTCTCTTATTATATGCCAAGCCAATCTGTGGAACTCAACGGGATATTGACTGTAGTCCATCTTTATTCGGCAAGACAAAACATATAAATATTAAAACCTCCAATCAATTAAGATCAGAAGCAGTGTGTAAATCTATCGTCGTACATTGCAAATGAAAAACCGAATCTCTATAACGCAAAATTACTGTTTATTTTACTCCAGACTTTTTTCAACCAAGTGGATGTGTGGTTTTGGAACTTTCTCCAAACGTAGATCCTAGATTCTCATATGGATGGCAGAAGCTGTCTTCATTCTTGAATCGATGGTTATATATCTATGTCATACCGTTCTATCCCACCCGGAAACATTCCAGGTGCAACTTGGCCGATCGTGTGTTTATCTGTCGGAGTCAGCCACTGACAGCCTGTGACGCGCTAATCTGTACTTGATGGCTAGGAGATAATCTCTCAGTAGCTGTTTTCCCAGATATGCTACTGTGTTTAAAATCTATTCTGACATTATCTGTGGGTGAGTTAGCCATATCTGGTGTGACTTTATTATTAGACTGTTCAGAAAATAATGTCCGATTTTAGAAACAACTTTTATTCTAGAATATATTTGGCTTGTGTGGCTGCGCGTTTTTGCCTTTTGCTTGGCATAGAGACTCTAACGTTGAGGTCCTGTTATGTCTGCAGTAGGGTGGTGATCAGAAAAGTTTATAAATCTCAAGAAGACATGGCAATTCACAGAAAGTTCAGAAAAGGAATCTCTGTAGAGCTATGATAACCAAAGTCTTGAAATAACCTGACATTAGAAAATACAGTTCCAGCGCACCAGAGTGGAATTATTCGGTATCTATCCGAAGAATGTTAAAATAGACAAATATTTGAACTTCGTTAGAGAACAGACATAACGGGTTATATGAAAGTAGCAGATGTACTTATTATTAATATTTAGGAAAGTGTTAGTATTTACAATTATATTAGGATTTACTAAAGTTAGATGGTAACAGTAATAGGAATTTAGTTATAATTGTTAAATTATAATTTATTTATGTTTTTTACCGTTTATCAGCCCTTTATGAGTCGTTTAAATATATTGAATAATTTCAAAGCTTTCCGACACTAACTTCCACGCAATCGTCTACAACTTC